TCGACAGCTTATTTTGTGGGTGACAATTATAAACAAATCGATTTTACACGGCTACACAGCAAGGTTGTATTAGTGAGATCTTGCGGCAAGACGTCAATGCAAGAACAACATGTGAAAAGGGCATATAAGCTTTTTGTAAACAAACCTACTTATGCCTTTTTCTCGTCACCCATATATCACCAACGCAAACCATCAACATAACCGGTTAGGGGAATCTTTCCCCTTCCCGATGATGTTGTTGGTTTGCGTGGGCGATCCTCGGTTGGCAAGAAAAGAGCCTACAAAGGTTTGTTTACAAAAAGCTTGTATGCCCGTTTCACATGTGGCTCTTCAATGGAATACGCTACCCCAACCCCTGAAAGAAAAGTTGATGTCTCTTCCTGGGAATTGCCGGAGCAGTGTACATCCCTCCAGATCAAACCCGTGACTTGGAGGCCCTTCCGACGAAGCTATTGTTCTTGGTGATTTTAACCTATCGGACATTGCATGGACTCCAACCCATAGTGGTTTCTTTTGTCCTGATCAGGGGTCGTCCATTAATAATGTCACACATTTAGGGGGGAGGGGGGGTTTGAAAACTGTGACGAGCCATACAAAAAAAAATTAAGGTCCATACAAAACATGTGACAAAGGGGGGTTGAAAATGGGCCAAATTTGCGTGACATAATTAATGGACCATCCAGCTCCTGGACAATTATAGTACCACAATTCTGTCACAAATCAATGGCCTGTTGAATGAAAACAACCGCACCCTGGATCTCTGCTTTGTGAGTGCTCTTGATACAGCTCCTCCACGGCACCTTTAGTCAAGGAAGTGCATCATCACCCTGCTTTAGTTATCGTGATCGAAAATAATATTGTTCATGATTTAATCAGCACTCCAGACGCTGTGTCATATGACTTCAGGCACAAAGGTTCGGTCCAACCGTTGACTCCCAGTTGCTCCACCAGACTGCTATCGATGAGCGAGAGATCCGAGCCGTCATCCAGAAAAGCAAAGGTTTCGATAGTAGCTCGCGGACCGGAGATGATGACAGGAATAATGCGAAACAGAAGAGCCTGCTTGTATTGCCGATGCGTATGGTTCTGCACGGTTGACATACCTTGTGTATGCCACCCACTGGCATTGGATCGATTGGAATGCAGCAACGGATGATGGTGATATTGGCATCCCTCGCATCCCTCACACAAGTTGGAGGCGAACCAGCCTAAGGCTGAAAGCCTCCTAAATAAAGCTAAATAATAATAATAATCCCTCACACACCGAATTGAATTTCTGCAGCTTCTTCTTCCGTGTGCGTTAAGACAACTCCGGCAAAGCCCGTTATCTTGCGCGAACTTCCACCGGTTGTCTACGGTATACGCTTTGTACGTGGAACACTCTGTCACGTGATGACCTGACCTTTTACAGCAAGAACATACTCGGACTTTATCCCGAACTGGCTCTCGAACTTGCTCTGCTTCGCTAGTGTGGGCATTCACCGTTCCCTCCTGCTTGGGCCACCACTGTTCCCAACGACGTACATTGTAACTCTGCTGACTGCTGTGATGACTCTGAGCATGAAATCTCCAAACGCCTTTATACGTACAGACTATGGCTTATATCATGTAATATAGATTGTCTTGCAATGAGCACTCATATATCTAGTTTTCACTGGAAATCCCATGTATGAGTGCTTATTGCAAGACAGCCTATGATATAAGCCGTAGTCTGTCCGGGGTATTAGGTTGACTACCGGGTGCTGCAGCATATAATCTGCCCACTGCATTTTAGTGTGCGCAGGAAGTTTCTCCACCAGCTCCATCAGCAACGTTGGATTGGAAAGGTGGTTTTGCTGTCCTGCGGCTTCCAGATGATCGCTGAGGCTTCGCACAGCCATTCCAAAGTCGATTATGGTCTCCAATTTCTCCGCTTTTGGTGCCGGAACACTACGCACCTTCTGCAGTAGAGCACTAATTAACAATTCAGTTCGCCCGTACAGCAAACGAAGGGTATCTATCACTTGAGACACTGATTCAGGCAGCAGCAACCTGCTCTTGACAGATTCGTACGCGGACCATCTCAAACACCGCTGCAGACGCGCGAGGTTTTCGGCGCTAGTGTAACCACATGCAAGCGAACTATTCATGAAGCTACTTATAAATATCGGCCAGTCAGCTGGGTCACCCGAAAACGTGGGTAGATCGCGGGGCATCACTTGACGCGCGGCTAGCTGCGAGGGGGAGAGGGTAAATTGATCAGTAATGGGCAGACCCGGCGGTGGGGGAACTGCTCCTACGGATAGTACCGGATTTACATGTGACGGAAAGCCAACGTTCGACAGTCCCTGTTGCGGGACAACTGTTCCAGACGCAAGTGGCGAAAAGCCAACAATCGGCAATCCCACAGTTGGGGGAGCTATCCGGAAGATTGAATCTGATTTGCCGGTGGCGGAAAGCCAACATTTGTTCCAAAAGAAGGGGGAACGGTATTTGTTTCATTGGAGGAAATCATGGCAAATGGTGCCAACGTTCCAAATTGGTTCATAATTTGTTGGAGGGAGTTTTCAATTTTTGGTGGTAATGGTGGATTTATTATTGGATCACCGAGTGACTTACCTTGATGTGTTACGGGGGGCACTTGGGGTTCGACTTTACCTCTTGGGTTGGTTACCTGTTGCTACTTCGGACCTATTTTAGGGATCGCGCCGGTATACTGCTGCTGATACCTCTCCTCACGGCACCGTTCAGGAACGCCAAACGGCTTTAACGTTGAATTCAACTGTGGCTGCTTGAAGCTGGATTGCTGACGGTGTTCTGCATGCCTCAGCTCTTGTCGCCTCGTTGCATCCATAACCAACTTTTCCCAAATTAGCTTGTTGACATCATCGGTTGGCTCCCGCTGCACATCCGGCATCGTTTTCCCCGAGTCAGTTTGAACCTGGCTGTTCAATGTAGCTGCTGCGGTATCTGCGGATTTGCCTACTAACGGAAGACCATCAGCAACATCTGACTGCTCATCGCATTGCTATTGTCAGTGCTTCACCCTGTCCAGACTCGTCCTTTTACTGACCTTGCTCCTGTTGCTGACCGAATCGTCCGTTTCGTGCAACTCCTCCTCCAGCATCTTATATTTTTCCACCAAATGACGTTTTTCCATCGCTTGCTGCTCCTCCAACAGCTTCTTTTTTAGCATCAAACGTGCCACCCTAGCGCTAGACGTTGTTGTTCGGGAACATACACTCAGCGGCAAACAGTGTCCACAAGTCCACGATCGATCTGCCACCGATGTAGATACTTCCGCGCATTGCATATGCCACCACCCATTACATTGATCGCATTGCACGGAATCGTCGACCGCGTTTTAAATCTTGGTAACACCGTTCGCCAGTTGAAGCGGTGATGTCGTTCGGTTTCGGTTACACAGCGGGCAGTGCTGGCAGCAACAACTTCCGCGGCCAGTAACGCTCTTTTGGTCAACCAAACGCTCAGTGTGGTCGACGCCACTACAGATATGATTTCTAGAGCAGCATCTAAACTTAAGACTTCAGCTAAGACTGGACCCGATGGTGTTCCGTCGATTATTCTTAAAAAGAACATCACTTGTCTTTTAGATCCACTGCGCCGCATATTCCAGCTCTCTCTTTCCAGCGGCATCTTTCCGTTTTGCTGGACTGCGAATTTCCTGTTCACAAAAAAGGGAAGCAAACGCGATGTAAACAACTGCCGGGGAATCACGTCGCTGAGTGCTGTATCAAAACTTTTTGAATTGGTTGTCATAAATATAGTCCCTAAATGCGCAAGCAATATCTAAGTATAGATCAACACGGATTCATAACTGGGCGTTCCACAACAGTCTGATTGCTCGTACCCAAACGGACGTTATTTACACAGATCTTACGGCAGCCTTCGATAAGCTGAACCATGAAATTGCGATCGCTAAGCTTGATCGGCTAGGGTTCGGTGGAAATCTTTTGACATGGTTTCGTTTGTTTGGGAGCGCCAACTGTCAACAGTAACATTTACTGCTTGAAATCGCTCTATTGCTCTCTCGTACGGTCTACGTTGGAATACTGCTCTGCAGTGTCTGTGAACATGTACATACTTCGTTTATAAATCACCTGTTCTGCACTGCGATAGCAACAACAACAACCATATTTATCAGACAAGTGTCGCATGAGTTTACATTCCATAAAGATAAACACGCCAACGCTCACGATTACACGCCGCGTAATATAGGTATTCGCACCCTCCTGTATGATGAGTCACTACTGTGTGACCTGTCTTCATACATATGCCTAGTAGTGCTTCCTTCTTTCACATACGATCGACCATTCCGATGGGCGTTATGGCGATGACCAGTATAGGCAGGCAGGCTCGCACCACACACGGGAGGAGAGAACGACTGCCTTCAATTAGAGACAAGCTGTTAATTTAATAAGACTGATTAGTTAGTTGATTGGCAATTGGCTGGATGGTGAGATGGCTGCGAGATGCATACGTGGGGGTGATACCGGTTGTGGTGAAAGCAACGTGCTAAAATTATGGAACGAACCGGTTTCGATTGGGTCTGGTTGGGAATTCCCGTCCCGTCAGTGCATCTGCCGGATGGGAGTTTGCGGATGGCTACCGGTACGATTCAAAACAAATTTTCCGACACCGGTATTGTATTCAAATGCGCAAAGATCGAATTACTTTCAATTTCACTGCATACTGCACGGTACTGAAGGTTCGGGAAGCGTTTGTTGTGAAACGGTATAGGAGAAATACCTTTTCTTGCTGCGCATGCAAGAAACGGAAGATCGTTCGTTTAATAACTCTTTAATGGCTCACATACTTCAATTAACAGAATACGGCAATTCGCGATTTTTCCCAAAGTAAAGCGGACGCTGCAATCGCGGCACATCTGCCTATTTCGTAACACCCAGCATTATCTATTAGACTTACGCTTGTTTGTTTCTTTTTTCTTTATTTTTCGGTGTTTCTTCTTTCGCAATTCCTTCCGACCGTCGGGCCGTCAGTCCAACGAGCTAAAGGCTTGCTGATCAAAGGCAAACATGGCACCAACAATTGTTTCGTCATCATCGCACTCAGCAAGGAGAAGTACCAGACATCGGTCAAGGAGAAAGCACCGGAAGCGGTCGAATGGCACGAAGAATGCGAACTGTAAGTATCAATGCGTCCTTGGAACAGTTTCCAAAAGGATTGAACTTTTATAGACATCCTATATGTGGTCTGTGCGGCCGTTGACATCGATAAATATATATATATTTTGAGATGAACAGTTCGATTCATCCCCGTCTCATCTATTTCAGTCAAATCCCCTCGCAGGGAAACCGAGCGGAGCTGGTGCTCACAGCATTGCACCACAACTCACTGGGAATCGACGAATTCCTGGGCCAGGTCGTTCTTCCCCTCAACGAGATGGACGTGTACGAGAGGCCTCGATCCCGGTGGTACAAACTGCAGAGTAAACCGGGCAAGGAGAAGAAGAAGGAACGTGGCGAACTGGAAGTTCGGATAGCATTCACCGTCAAGGCCGGTTCGTTGACGGATCTTAGCAAGAAGGAGAAGAACAAGAGCTCCATCAGCAATTTGGCATCGAACGTCGGAGGATCGTTGTTGAGTATTGGTGCGATTGAAAAACGAAAGAGTCTGAAAAAGTTTGCCAAATCCCTCGGGTCCAAGGTGCACATAAGCGGAATCGGCAAGAAAAAGAACAAAGAGGCTGAAGTGGTAGGTGATGATGGATCGTTTACGGGCAGCTATTCGAGTATCGGAACGCCAAGTGGACTTCAATCGAGACAATCACGGCAAACCTTCGGAGATGCCGATCCGGGCGTGATCAGCGAAGACGAGGATGAGTTCGTTTTCGACAATCTCTCACACAAAAGTTCGGGAAGTTCGTTGAATATCCGGGCCCAAAGCGGAGCAGGTCACATTGTGCCAAAATCTTCAACACAATCCAGCTCTTCTACACCAGATGAGACTAGAAAACACAAATCGATGACCCTGCCACCGTCGAAACCACCAAGGCTCGCATCTGAAAATGAATCCGAATCAGCACCTCCCGCCAAGGTAGATGAATGGGAGCAGAAGCTTTATGGCAAACATCTTGAAATTGGCAGCACGGATTCATTGAAGAGACGGTCATGGGAAAGTTCACGTGTCCTCCTCACAGTACAACAGGAAGAGGATGAAGAACAGCAGCAGCAGCAGAAGAAAGAACCTCAAGAGCCATCCCTCCCGGCACCGACGTCAGTCACGGCTCCGACCTCTCCACTACTCACTGATAAAACCCATAAAGAAGAGTCGGAAGGATACGATAAACCGAAAGCCCTTCCCCGTGCTGGTTCACAGGACATCAGTAAGGTCAACGATAAGCTGATCATGCACAGTGCCCCCATCATGAGTAACAGCGTGAGCAACAGTCGCAAATCGATCAATCAACCATCGCCCAAGCTGGAGAAACAGGAAAGCCATTCGTTCACCAAAAAGTTGAAGCATTTCATCAAGGATCATCGAGCGGAATCGTTGGAGAATCTTTCCAGCAAGAAGCAGCTGAACGGTACAAAGCAACACGTCAACGAGCGAATAATTATTGGTGGCGAGAACGGTAGCAGTGGCACCGGAGATCTACCTACTCCCTTCCTAACGGCGGCACGGCAAAGCAAGTTGGTCACGGAAGTATCGCCGGAGATTCTTGCCAAATATGAGGGTAAGACACGCGAAGATATGATGAAGATTGCACACAACCTGGAGAATGAAGTCACCTACCAGAAGCAGAAGGTGAAGGAGCTCGAGGACTACCTGGACAGTCTGCTGCTGAAGGTGATGGAATGCCACCCGCGGATATTGCAGAATCCCTACCAGAAGGCGAATCCCACCAAGAGGTGAGTGGCTGGAAGGGATGTACCTACTTGTGTGCGGTGTGTTGTTGTTGTTGTTTTTTCATGGGGGTGTTAGGTTCTATCATAGCACTTCCTACTTTGTTTTAAACTCAGTCTTTTGAAAGTGTTCGGTCGTTGTCGGACTTTTCACCGAACAAAATCTTATTTTATTATAGGTCGAGATAGGTCGAGATAGGTCGGCATAATGTTCAACTAAGTTGTAGCACAAGTTAATTTGAAACAACTTTGCTGAACGAAGAAATTGTCTTCCTCTAATGGTTCACAATTTGTGTTTTCCCGCCCATGGCTACTCTAGAGCACTATGCCTTTTTGACATTGTGTGCATAAGCTATAACTTTCTGAAATCACAACATATTTTCATAGTATGTACTAGTTCTTCTATTATTGGAAATCTAGGCCAATATCTCGCCCGGGACACTCCGAAGATACTGGTTTTTTTTTAATTTATTGTTTCAAAACATTCTGAGCGGGAAAGGGTTAATGAGTACCAGCTTTTAAAATGGCCCCTATGAAATCGATTTTTCAACAGTATTTTTTGTTTACTTTGATTTCTCGTAAATGACTTGTTCTAAACATGTTTCGAACTTTTTATGGTGCACATTTTTGTTGAAGCAACCTAGTTGCTATCTTTTTTGCATGTTATAAATAGCCATATCCTAAAATAGCGCAATTGGAGTTGTGTTATTATTAAATAGTTGCAACATGTAAGTTAGATAAATATGAACAAAACAAATTTGTTTTCCCATAGTTCAACTTCAAATGATTCGTACCAATAAGTTTCGTACCAATTGCGTTCATATTTTGGGAGGCTCAACAGGACCCGATTTGGAACCGTTTGAGCACTGTGGAGCAATAAGTTTAAATTAAGCATCAGTTGAGTGGCCACGTTGAGACGGTTCCTAACTAAAGAAGTCAGTTTTATTCTATGATTTCGCGTAACATTTGAAAAGGGTCCATCGTCTTTTGTAAGCAAAGCTTTTAACGCCCTTTACGCGCCTACGCCTACACAAACCAAGAAACCTATCGAAAAAAGAGGAGAATTTCACCGAAGCGATGGTGTTGTTGGTTTTTACGAGCTCCGGTTCGCGTTAAAAGTTTTGTTTAGAAAAGATGATAGGCGCTTTTCAAATGTTACGCAAGATTTTATTTAACTCGAATTAGTGGTCCTAACAACCTCTCAACTAGCATGATATGAATAGAAATTTTTCTTTAACGGTTCTCTTATGGGCACTGGAGGGTTGAACTAGAATTAATAACAAAAAACAAATAATTGTAATCAAACCGAACTGATTTTAGTGTGTTTTTTTCGTTCCTTTTTCTATCGTTTCTAGTCTACTCAGATCAATCCAGACGCAGGAATAGGAAAGGGGTAATAAGTAGACTAGAATACCAGCTTCTCTTTTCCCCAAATGCCCAAATGGACATTCTATAACACCACTACCTATTAGTTAACCTATTCAGTCTAAGCTATCCTTCTGTTTTGTAGCCTGCGTGACTTAAACTGGAATCACACCTACTTCTCTACTTACAGTGGATGATTTGCCCTTCTTCCTTACAGCGGTATAGGCCAGCAGCTGATGGAGTGCGTGTATCTGTAGTTGAATTAAGTTAACAATAATCGCCCACTACTACTACTACTACTACTACTACTACTAACAACAGAACTGATCCCGTAGCCAGCGAAAGCACATTTTCGTCATCGTCGCCGTCGTCGGTAAGCATAACCTAACAATCCCTATACCAAATCCTCTTCACACACACACACCCTACACTTTTCTTTTAAACTCAGCTTTTGATAAGTTTTCAAATTTAAGTGAAAAAGACAATATTTTACCAACTGCGATGGTGCCTTTTTCTACAAACAAAAAATAAACACCCGTAAACCCACAAACGACTTTATTGTACATTTCCAAGTCCGTTATTTTTAAAATCTACTAAACATTTTTTTAAAGATATATTACCTTATTTTTACACCCTGTAGCAATTATCCTTTATATAATTGTTTATAATATATTCATGAAACTAGAATAATCAAAACAACTAAAGGGAAACTAGTGAATTCAAAAATCCACTGACGTTGAACCCAAAAATCCGCCCTCGTAGGATGTTGACGAGAGAACACAGAATGCCTCGTATTTATTGATACTTGCGGTACCTTAAGATTGAATCGATATACTTTCCTTGTTATATCGCCCCTTTTATATTGGAGAGGATTTACACAGTTGCTTCAATCCAAGCGAAAAAAACTCAATCCAAACCGGCGTTTGCCTTAATCCGAGTGGATCGTATGTGTCGATAGATTATGCGCCTATTTGCGTCGGAATAAACATAAATATACACTGAAACAAAACACAGGTAACGTTAGTTACAATTATTGATGGATCTTTGAAGTTTAGAAAGTTCGAAAATACATTTATTTAGCATTGATTTATTGAGAAAGAACCGAAGAACATTATTTCTGATGACATTCGCCCTTAACGTGTTTAATAGGAAATAGTAATATTGCGTCCTCTTTTTTTAAATCTAGTTCATTAGTTTGGAAGTCTCAATCGCGTTAGCTTTACGGAGCCGAGCCTTCATTGTTCATTGATTGTGATAAAATTCACTTATTTCTATGTCTTGAATGCTCGCGGCTAACCCGAGGTTAGAGGGGTACATTTTCGAAGCATAGAATCAGGGTAGGACCTTGGGGGTGGGGTTTCGTTGTAGCCACTCCCTGGGCATTGGCATAACCTTGAGCAGGGTTACTTCCACTCACTTGCTATAAAAAATGTTTTGCGGAATTATGAAATCATGAGATGGTATAGTGATAATTAGTACTTGTAAGTTACAAGATGAGGATGTGAAGTATGTGTTTGACACATAAAATCTGTCAATATTGCTTTCAGTGCGTCACAATCAGCAATTTTACGACTCGTGAGTGCTCACTCTGAGTGAACGCTCACGAATCATAAGATCGCTTATTGTGACGCTCTGAAAGCAAAATTGACAGGTTTTATGAGTCAAACACATACTTTAAACCCTCTTCTCGTTACTTACAAGTACAGCATATCATTATATCATCTTCTTCTTCTTGTTCGCATTTCAAGCTTATTGCTTAGCGCATATTAGCTTATTGCGTGCTCTCAACTTAGTGTTCTAAATGCACTTCCACAGTAATTAATTGAGAACTTTCGTTGCCAATACCAATGCATGAATTTGTATATTGTGTGGCAAGCACAATGATACTCTATGCCCAGGCAAGTCGAGAAAATTTCCAACCCAAAAGATTCCCTCGACCGGACTGGGAATCGAACCCGCCGCTTCCGGCTTGGTATCATCTAATGATTGCATAATTCCGAAAAATATGTTTTTTATAGTAAGTGAGTGGAAGCAATCCTGACCTTGAGAATTGCTTAACTGCAACCAGGTCCCAGGGTTTGTCTGTATCTTTATATTTTAAAAGTTGCACACTAGTGATGCCAGTTGTGATGTAGCGGACCAAAAGTTTGTTGGAATTTAACTACAAACCAAAATTAAATAATTGTGTACTACCTTTGAATTTGGCTTGATCGAGTGACGATTTTCTTTTCTTTAGATCAAGACGATGAAGTTTTGAAGAAGACGACGATCATACATCACGGGGAAGAAAAAAGTTGGTCGCCGTATTACACCTGGAAAACTAGTGTGAAACAGGATATCAAAGATCGGGTCATTCCTTGAATTTCTGGAAAGAGCTGGCAAATAACAGAAAACAATTTCAAAACTCCACCTACAACGCCACTACAATGGATGAATCTGTGTACAAAGGGAACGACGAAATTCGAGGGATTCCCTGATGAGGAAATTAACGCCATGCCGGGATTTTCATCGGACGCATCGTCAGACCTATAGAGGGCGGCGTCATCAAGAGCGCCAACAACAACATCATGGTAAAGTCAGGCATCATAAACAATCAGGTAATTTCTTACTAATTATATTTATACTCGAATTAACCAGCTTAAGTTACAGCTGTCTATGAATTGACACAAACCCCCCCCCCCCTCCCTTGTCTCTTCCCTTATGATAGCTAATACATTAATGTTGAAATGGGATCGTGCCGATACGTTACCCTACCGGTGATGTTACTATGGCTCGCCCTGTTTCATATTCGTGGATTACACAGAACTTAAAGATGGTAAAGATGCTGTGATGCCACCTCCTGTCTACTGGTATAGCACGTTAAGTGCATAAAATTATCGGAGACCTGGCCCTTGACCCCGTTCTATACTACACAATCACAATCACAATCTCATCAGAGCGTTGTCGCCAGTATGAACGGTAGTGCGGTTCTAGATTCGTCTGGAGTTTCAGTTCGACCGGCTATGGTGACCAGTGGGCAACGATGAGACCCATCGAGACGGGGGACACGACAAACAAAAACTAATAAAGACAGACAAAGGAATTAAATTCTTATACTAGACATTTGCAGAAACACATAAATCAACTGCATATAGCAGAGATCGCGAATCTCCAACACGTCTCTGATAGGGATATTAGGATTGTCTTCCTTGGGTTAAAATACGCTCTCTGGCATCCGTACATTGCCACACCGTTGCTGTCCACGAGGTTTATTCTATGGAGATGCGCATCTAGCGAGTAGTAATTGGACATAAGTCTACTCATCATGTGAATGAAGTCACGACTTAAGACCAATAATTGAATGTAACCACCGTCCAAGATTTCCAGTGTTCCAATCGGTTTGCCAACTCGAAAGGGTACTCTGACGCACTAAATGGTAAAATTCATAGTGTGAATTGTGCCTGTCAAACAATTCGCCTCCCTGTGCGCCCACCTTTGCGAGAGAGTCCGCCTTCTCATTGCCTGGGATTGAGCAATGTGAGGGGACCCATACAAAGGTAATCTTTCGACCAGCACACTCATATGCTCCCTTTACCTTTGAAAGGAAATAAGATGAGTGCCTACCTGGTTTCATCGACCAAATAGTCTCAATCGAACTGAGACTATCCGAGAAGATGAAGTAATGGTCTGCGGGCATGTTGGAAATCATCCCCAATGCGAAGTTGATTATTGACAGCTCAGCAACAAAAATGGAACAAGGTCCCTGAAGGCGCTAGAGTTTTCATTGAAGACAACCAAAGCCATTGGATCCATTGAGACGAGACCCATCTGTAAAATATCTTTTCACGCATTTGACGTGTTGGTACTTTTTTTTTGGGAGGTTGTTCATTGAAACTTCTGGTCCGCTTCGTAGCATAGTGCTTGCTAAGAGGTACCAGGTGGTAACCCACTGATTACCTGACGATCGCCAAATTTGTAAGACGTCTGCATTGAATTGTCTCACATTGTAATATTCCGCCCACTATATCACAATCAATTGCGAGTAGCTGAGCGGAATGGAGACAAGGAAAGTGTTGGCGAACCTGGATGAAGCGGCGGTGGACACGGCGAACAGGGCAGCAGCAAAGCAGGAACTACACCACTGGTCAGCGAAGCAGGAACAAACGGGGCAACTAGTGGCACAATTCGTGGAGTACTTTTCTTCCATGCAGTGAGGAACACGAGAAAGTTGGTTTTTTGTGTGTTTTTGATAAAGACCAATTTTATACTGATTTAAAGAGGGCCAACCGATCATTATTTTTCCTAGCTGGTTGAGTTCGGGGTTTATAAGGCACGTGAAGCGATCGGATCTAAAGGAGATAATGATATGGAGTGATAAGCTAGTCTACCTACTCTCGTATCTTATCGTTTGGCTCATTATGGATTGGAGGTATAACATTTCAATTTTTAATGGGGTTCTGATTTCGGGATACAAATTTCAACAGTGTTCCCCTACTTATTAAGTTCTTCAACAGAAAGCATTGGGTACAGGACCAAGTCTCTCCCGGCTGGCGCCAGAACAATGAACCTGGAATCAACTGAATCAAGTGGTCATGGGGCAACCGGATAATCGAGCCATACTTTTTTCGTTGCCGCTTTTCAAGGACAGGTCAATAGATGATGAAAATTAATTGCCCAAATTGAATGTTTTAAAACTATTTTATTCCCTTTTCCTGATGATGGTCACATATATCAATCACTGTAAAACAACTTTCCATCTGATTTTTGACAACCAATTTTTCATCTTACTTTCTTCAAACAGTGGCTGAAGCCAACCATTGTGAGTGGATCTATGAACACTCCATGCGCTCATCTGATGCTTTGAAGCCACCCACATTGTTGAGCCCTAGGATGGGTCATCTTAACAACTCCCTGCACCCCAGAGCTCTAAAGTTTGTATGGAAAATGTATGAGCAGTAGAACAAAATTGTTCAGTCCTCTAAAAAATTCTAAAATAGTTCAATTTAGATCTAACAGATGCTAAGCGGAATAACTTTGTCCAATGCTGTAATTTGATTTGACTTTAGACTAAGTGCTCCGCACATACCTACAAGCTCATATTTACGGATGCAGGTATGCGCAGAACACTTGGTCTATCTAAAGTAAAATAATAATAACTGTTTGCCCCGAATTCAAATCGATTTGCGATTAATGACAAAGTTGTTCTGCATAGTATTGCCGATCTAAGTTCAAGGCTTGTTCAAATTTGACCAATTTTTGAATTTTTGACAAACAAATGAATAGTTTTGGTTCGTTTCCCATACAATTTCCCATACAAAATTTAAGATTCTCCCGCAAATCCAGATCATCATAACAAAATTCGTTCAAATTTTACAGTTGTTGGTGACCTCTATACACATCTAAAGAGCTGTGGGAAGCAGGGACGCCATACCAACATGACCCACCCTGGTGTTCATGGATTACTCATAATTAAAGGGTGATACGGTCAAAATTTGGTCAAGGGAAAACGCGTGTAAATCGGTGAAATCGTTTATTTAAAAAATCAAATTAAATTTCTTTTTCAAGTTCAATTAGCATAAAATTCAGAAAAAATATTCAGTTAGGCTTCCGCTTTTCCAAATCCGAATTGCCGGGCCTTACGCTTGACCCCTGCCATCAGATTTTGTACAGCCACCTTGTCCACCTTCTTCGCCGCAGAAAGCCAGTTTGCCTTGAACTGCTGCTCGCCCTTAGCAGTTTTTTTGGTCTTCTTTAGGTTCCGCTTGACAATAGCCCAGTATTTCTCAATTGGGCGGAGCTCTGGCGTGTTGGGAGGGTTCTTGTCCTTGGGAACCACCTGCACGTTGTTGGCGGCGTACCACTCCATGGCCTTTTTACCGTAATGGCAAGATGCCAAATCCGGCCAAAACAGTACGGAACAACCGTGTTTCTTCAGGAAAGGCAGCAGACGTTTATTCAAACACTCTTTCACGTAAATTTCTTGGTTGACAGTCCCGGAAGCTATGAAAATGCTGCTTTTCAAGCCACAGGTACAGATGGCTTGCCAAACCAGATATTTCTTTGCGAACTTTGACAGTTTCATGTGCTTGAAAACATCTGCTACC